ATGGCTAGAAAAATTGATAAGATAAGGTGCTCAACTAATATTATTAACCAATCAAATGAGAATATATCGCATGTTGGAACCATACTGCTGGATATGACTTTATGAAAAATCAACGTAGATGATACAAGATTACTCAAGTGGATACCTACCAGAGATATATTGGGATACACAAAAACTATTTGGATTTGACAATTTTATTACTGAGTTAGACAATTACTAATATCAAGTAAACAAGGATAACTCATACACCATCATATTACACATTACAAAGAATCTTAGAATCAGAGACGCAAACTATCAAATATTTACAAGATAAGAAAGTACTACCACAACAAATGAAATGCCCAAAAAGTGACCAAGATATGACTTTTAATAATACTTTATTCAGTTGTATGAAATGCACGTGTAGAAAAAGCATATCTATCTTTAATGATACCATATTCTCAGAATCAAAGATCCTGTATAACAAATTATTAACAATTGCCTATTTATGGATAATCAGATATAAACACCAATCAATACACACATTTACAGGAATGTCGCCAACAACAATTACATGATAGCTAAAAATATTTAGGAATTAGTAAGCTTTAATCTTGAAAAAAAACATCAACAAATAGGTGGAAAAGATATCATTGTAGAAATAGACGAATCATGATTCGAAATATGAAAAATATGGATATACAATGAAGAAATGAATTTGAAATAAAATTAAACTATATATGGGTATTTGGAGACATGGAACGCAGGCCCCAATCTAAGATGTTTGCAATGATTGTAGAAGATAGGTTAGCAGATACTCTGCTAAAACAAATAGAAAAACATATACACTCCAATCAATCATTTATTCAAACATGTGGTCAGGTTATCAAAATATTTACTCATATCTAGGGATATCCCACCATGCAATCAATCATTCTAAAGAATTTACAATGATTGAAGAAAGTAAAACCTTAACACAACCCAAAGTGTATCACACAAACACAATTGAAGTATATTGGCAAGTGATCAAAGCAAAAATACTGCCAAGAGAATGCAGATACTTATTTTCAGAATTATTAGTCTTTATTTGGAAAAAACAAAACCCTCATGATCAATTTGAAGCCTTTATCAAGTGTTTACAGAACATGGCTAAATTAAGTACCACAGGAATTGAATCAGATATCATTAAAGAATCAGAAGAAATTGATGAAGTATAAACAAACAGAATTCAAGAACTTGACGCCCAAGAAACAAATTGAAAAACTATAGAAACCAACAACTATTTAAGGACCCTGAAAAGGACTCCAACTTTGACAAAAAAAGTTACTTATCAGAAAAACAAAAGAACCCTGAAAAAGAAATAATATCAAGAACCTGATTCATCAATGACTC